TCGCACAAAAACTGACTCCAGCTGGGCCAACCTAAACGTGAGATCAAAACCTCCAAAACTTCTAGAAGGAAACACAAGCAGTACCCTGCATGGTATAGTTGTAGAAAATGACTTTCTGAATATGATTCTATTTGCCCAAGGATTAAGAACAATTAGTTTTATAAGTGGAACCTCATGAAACCCAAAATCTAAAGAAAGCTAAAGAAACATTTAGTGAAGAAGCCCACAGAATCTAACAGAGGATTAATATCAAGAATATATGAAGAACTCAAAAAAAAAAAAAAACCAGAGACAGTAAGAACCCCCCAACAAAAGCAAAATCAAAGTATTCATTCAAAAAATGGGTCTGAGACCTGAAGAGAGAGTTCTCAAAAGTAGGCAAAAAAAGTGGCTGAGAAATATCTCAAAAAATAAGCATCATGCCTGTCAACTGGGGAAGTGTGAATCAAAACAACTTGAGGCTTCATATACCCCAGCCAGTCTGTCTAAGATCAACAAAACAATAGATAACAATGCTGGGGAGGATGCAGGGAAAAGTGAACCCTCATTCATTGCTGATGAAATCTCAAACGGGTCCAGCCACTTTGCAAATTAGTGTGGAGACCCTCAAAAAGCTAAAAATAAATTTACAATATGAGTCGTTTATAGCATTCCTTGGCATGGACCCAGAGGACATCCTACTCCACAGATGGCTGCCTAGCCACATTCGTTCACAATAGCTAGGAAATTGAAATGCCATAGCCCAGGCAGCCTTCAACTCGAGATCACCCCTGCCTAAACCTCCAGATGCTGGGATTACAGACATGGGCTACCATGTTTGGCCTTTCCTCCTGAGTATTTTCTATCTGTAGCCAATTGACTCTTTGGATATGGAGTGTGTGGGTATGCAGACAGTGTGATGTTTTGAATACACACACACACACATACACACACCTCTGGAATTATTGAACTGAGATCATTAAAATAAACATTTCTTCACATATTTATTTATGTATCTGTTTAATTATTAATTTCTTTACATTTGTTTACTTGATGTGCAGACAGACAGGACAGCATAGAATCCAAAGCCAAAGCTACTCGAGACAAGTGAGGATTTCACCAATGGAACTGCTTCCTAGAATTCAAGGACAAGTCTGCACCAGAACTAGGTCCTCAGGTACTGTCCTAATTTTGCATCTCCTGTCTCCGTGCCCATCTGTACACCACCATCACTCGCATACACCACCTTCTCCTGTATCCGTGCCCATCTGTACACCACCATCACTCACGTACACCACCATCTCCTGCCTCTCTGCCCATCTGTACACCACCATCACTTGCGTACACCACCTTCTCCTGTCTCCGTGCCCATCTGTACACCCCTGCCACTCCCGTCTCCTATCTCTGTGCCTTCCTGTACACCACCATCTTTCTCAGATAGGCAGTGAGCTGAAAAATTGTTGGGCTGTATTTCTTGTCAGGATTGGTTCAATTTATTTCTTTTTTTAAAGAAATTATTTTGTTATCAGTGTGTGCGTATGAGCACATGTGTGTGTCAGAATACAAGTGTGTGGAATTGACTCCTTCCATCTGGATGTGGGTTCTCAGGCTCAACCTCAGTGTGTCAGGCTTGTACAGCAAGCACTTTATCTCCTGGGGATTTCATGGGTTGCATATGCATGCATGTATTATATTTGTAGTCTGTAAAGTAAGTTTAATTTTATATTTTAATTTGCATGCTCTAATTATATAAAATAATTGGTTTCATTATATTATGACATTTTCATACTTACATATGATATATTTGATCTTATTCATTTCCTGGAAATTTTAGCTCAAGAAATCATTTTGAAATTAAAATATAACTCTTTTCCCTTATTTCTTTTTCTCTTTCCAACCTTTCCCTTGTACCTACTTCCTGTTCTTTCTCAAACTCTTGGCCTTTGTGTTTTTAATTGGTGTTAGATATTTGTATATATATTCCTAAATTTACAAATGCAACCTTCTTGGTTTATATCACGTTACTTGTGTGTATATGGTCAGTATTTCAAGACTGACCGCTTGGCATTGGATAACCAATTTGGAGGCTCTACCCCAAGGATGACTGTTTTCCCTTGCTCTCAGCATCTTCAGTTGCCTGTAGTTCTTTGTCTAGCACTGGGGCCTGGTGAGCTCTCCCTCTTCACATTAGCGAGTCTGTGGTGTTCTTGTTCAGGTCTTGTTCAGGCAGCCATACTGGGGAGACATCGGGGTCTAAGTTCTCTGATCTTGCTTGGAAACTCTGCTCCTTCTGACTTACAGTCTCTCCATCCCGTCTTCTGCTGTGATCCATGAGCCTTAGGTGCAGGAGGTTGTAGATCTAACAGTTGGGGTTCAGCTCCATAACTCTGCGTTTTGATCAGCTGCATTTTTCTGTAATGGTCTATGTCTGTTGCAAGGAGCTATGTCTTTGATAAAGGGTAGGTTCTAAGCTTATTTGTGGGTAGAAACTTTATATTTTATGGGTGAGAAATGAAGACCAAGAGAAAATTAAACAATTGATTCATGTAAGCGGCTGACTAGGAATTTTAAGCCAGGCTTTCTAAGGATTGCTTGTTTCTTCTTTTTTTTTCTTTGCTTTCTGGGGCTGAATCTCACTATGTGTGGAACTCATTGAGCAGCTCCAGGCGAGCCTTGAACTCACAACCGTCTTCTCACCTCATTTGTGATTAAGGTTGTGCGTCAGTGCACCTGGCTTCCAAGAGTTATCTTGTCAGGTGACACTTGCCCTGACCCCAGTCTTGCTCTCCAGGTGTGTGATATAGCCTCTCACTTCATACTCCAGGTGTTAGCTGATACCTTGAAGGCCAGCTAGGACAAGCCAGCTGCTTCTCCTGTACTGAATTTTGTCCTGGGTTTGGTGTCCTTGTCTCTGTCGGATCCCCTGACCCTAAGCCCAATTTCTCATATGTAAGAATAGATGAATGGTTCAGAGACTTGTATGGTTTTGTCTATTGTGTCCACTACTGACTTCCACTTCTAAATCTGATTTCTTGACAGTTAGTTATTTAAAAATGTGTTTAAAAACTGGTCTAATAAGGGTCCTACTAGAGGGATAATTGAATATTCTTGTTTTTGACTATGTACTAGACTTTTGTTTGTTAGGTTTGGCAAGAGATAAAGGAAGATATGAAGGAAGCTGTGTACTTGGTTGGAGCTGGATTACAGAAGTCTGTAAGTCACCCAAAATGGGTGCTAGGAACTAACATGAACTCTCTTCAAGAGCAATATGTGTTCTGAACTGCTGAGCAGTCTCCAACCCCAATAAAGTATAAATTTAAAAAGGAGGCCATGTCCATGGGGGAGAGAGAGAGAGGTGGTGAAGAGGCTGTGGGTGTAGGGGGAGGCCATGTCCATGGAGAGGGAGCGGGGGTGGGGGGAATGAGGCTGTGAGTTTAGGGGGAGGCCACATCCATGGAAAGGGAGTGGGTGTGTGTGTGATGAGGCTGTGGGTGTAGGGGGAGGCCATGTCCATGGAGAGGGAGTGGGCGGGGGTGGGGGCGATGAGGCTGTGGGTGTAGGGAAAGGCCACATCCATGGAGAGGGAGCTGGGGGGGGATGAGGTTGTGGTGTAGGGGGAGGCCATGTCCATGAAGAGGGAGCAAGATGGGACGGGGCGGGGGCGGGGTGAAGCTGTGGGTGTAGGGTAGGAGATTCTGCTGCAGGAAGTTAGAAAGACTGGAGAAGGAGAAAAGGGAGAAAGAAGACAGCAGATCAGGGTATTAACAGATTTTTTTGATTTATTAACTGTAAAGTAAGTTTTGAATCTACATTTCCTCTTGGTATCCACAGGAGTTTATTTCAAGAGTCCCCAAACAAGTTAATATTATCTGGACATATTCAGTATGCAGGAAGTTAAAACATTTCCTCCTTCTTTCCTCTCTTACTTCCTTTATTCATCCCTCCTCCTTCCTCCCTCTCTCCCCTCCTCCTTCTTTTGTTTCTCCTTTTCTTGGCAAGACAGGTCTTGCTAAACCCAATATCTTCTCACATGAACTCACTGTGGAACCCTGGCTACTTTTAACTTCCCTCTACATCCTAGGTCCCCCAAATGCTACGATTACAGACAGGAACCACAGACAGGTGCTACCATGCCTGCTTTTTTTCTTCCCTCAGTATTTCCCATAAGTATTCAGTTGACTTTGAAGATATGAAATATGTGGGTATGGAGAGCAGACTGCATTTATCATGTACAATATGGTGTGTTTCGAATATGTGTACTTTGTGGACTGGCTAAATGAGGTGATTAAAATGTATACTACTTTATATATACTTATTTTGTGCTGTGTGAAGAGTTAAAAAATCTATTCTCTTAGTAGTTTTAAAGAATATAATATATTGTTATTAACTGAAGTCACCAGATGTTCAAAGATGTCTTGAATATTAAGACTAGTGGTCTTCCCTAACCACCCCGTTTTAATTCCTGTGGAGTCTGTGGTCAAGCGTCCAGTACTCGCGACTGCTCTGCATGTGGCTTTGCTCAGCTGGAGCACAGGAGGCAGGCCAGTTGCTTGTCTTATTGCTCTGACTCCCTGATAACCGCTCTCCAGGAAAGGAAGGGTCTGCTTAGGCTGACACTTTTACTGTTCAGTTCACCACGGAGAAAGTCACGGCAGCCGGCAGGTGAGCTGGTCACACCGTGTCCACAGTGAGCAAGCAGAGAGTGTTGAATGCCGGTTCTCAGCTCCATTTCTTCTTTTTATACAGTCCAGAACCCTGGCCCGTGGAATGGTGGCATGCATTGCTACAGTGGGTAACCCACGTCCAGAGACTTGCCTCCAAAGTGATCTTAGATTCAGTCAAGTTGGCCACCAGCATTAACCATCACAGGTGGATTGTAAGTAGCAAGGTGAGTGAGATCTTTGGCCAAGGTACCCAACCTATGGAAGCTGCTCAGTAAACATCTATTTCCCCTATTTCCTGGGGAGCCTGGGGCCTTGGCTGAACTTCTCCATTTCCTTCACTACAGCAAAGGGCTTCTCATGCCCAGACCTCTCAGAATGTTTGCCTCCCTGCCAAGCCTTTTCTGAGGACTCTGTTGGGCAGCCTGGCAAAGCTCTGAGCAGTGGAGACGTTTGCCCCACTTCACTCTCTGCAGAGTTCTGTCCCATTCCCCCAGGCAGGAGCACAGCCGTCCCTCACACTGAAGACAACACTCTTTAGCCTGCTGGGGAGACTCCTGGGTAAGTGCTGATGTAATTTGTTTTTTTTTTTCCCCAAAAACTATAACAGGCTTCTGAGTTAAGCATTTGCTCAGCTGGCCTGTGCCAAAGACGACAGGTGCTTTGTGTCACTGCCTGTTGACAACAGCCGTGGTCACGCGCTGACCTTCAGTGGCAGAGCCATTCTGAGGGTGGCGAGCTACAGCAAGGGTCCAGAGGTGTCCTAGATCTTCCAGACATAGTACAGTTGGGAGAATGAGGAAATGACAGCCCGCTCAGACTCCCGCCGTCCTCAGACTTGCCATAGATGTTTTAATTAGGATGTCCAATTTGTTTAAATTAGAGGAATACAAATTCTATAATTACTTCTTTCTCCCTTTTGCTACACCATGAGGCTTGGGCAGGCAGGAGCCTCTGTCATCTGCCTGTCTCTCAGTACAGAGCTAGATACGGAGAGAAGCTTATGAAATGGGCCAACCAACGTGATGGCTCTGAAGACCCGGCTTCCCGAATTCTTTGCGCTCCTTGGCAAAGGCCCCTGCTCGCCACAGGTGTCTCCTAAGAGCTTCTGTCCCAACATTTCCTTTTCATCCTGGAAACGGAAGTTGGCTTTGAAAGCTGCTCCATTGTTTGTCCGGTTTAACCTCCAGCTGAGCGCGAGCAACCGGCGGGGTGCTTGGCCAGTCTGCTCTGTACTTTCAGACCAAGTACGGCCTGGGATAACAGCAAGTTACATCCAGGGTAGCTAGGACCCTAAACTTTTCTACCTTTTGTTGGTATAATCCAAACTATGATGTTCACAGAACCCTTTTTTCCTCTGTCCAGAAAGTAGATGGAACAAGGTGGCAGTGGCGGTGGGTAAGATTGGACCTAAAGATTTTTGGATCTGGGTCTGGAGAGAAGGCTCAGTGCTCTTGTGGAGGACCTGAGTTCAGTTCCTAGCATCTGTATTAGGAGGCGGACGACCGCCTCTAGCTCCAGCTCCAAGCGTTTACTGCCCTCTTCTGGACTCCCTAGCTACCTGACTGCGCATATACATACTTTGCCCCCTCATTAAAAATAATATAATAAATTAGAAATAAGATTTTGGATCACCTGATGGAGAGTGTGAAACGAAAGAACCCTTCCATTTGTAATCTTCATATAGCTTGTCTCCTAAAAGAGGAAGAGTCTAAAGAAGTTCTTCCTATGGGTCTTACACAAATTATATTTTAAAATTGTAATAATACTTTATTATTAGAAATCACAAATAAATAAAAGCGTTTCATACCAGAATTAATCATATCCAAATCTATACAGCTTAATGAACCTATATGAAGAATTGGCATTAAAAATGGAAACTGTGAAGCTTCATATTACATTTTACACTTTTGGTATGGAATATATTTTATGCATGTATACACCATCCAGACCAAAAAAGTCCATGACAGAATTAGAAATAGAAAAACAATTAGCTTTATGTTCCCTTTCACAACTATGTGCATTCCCTGCACAAATGTACGCCAGGGTACAGTGTAACACAGAGAAACGAGAACAAGGAAGATCAGGCACAAGGAGCAGAGAGAGGAGTAAATACAGCAGTTTATGCAAATTAGAGTAAAAGCTCATTTCCTTCTTTTTTAAGGCACGGACTTACTATGTATCCCTGGCTGGCTTGGGACGTGCTGTGCATGAATTCAAAGAGATCCACTTGCCCCTGCCTCCTGAGTTCTGGCATTAAAGGCACGCGCCACCCAGCTCAACTAATTGTTTTGATTTTTTAATACAAGGAAAGCGGCAAAGCCGTGACCTCTTAACCTTCCTACTTCTACTTCCCAAGTGCTGGGATTACAGGTATGAACTAACCATATCCAATGTGTTTCCTGCTGTGGGTTGAACACAGGTTGTACACACTAGGCAAACACTATACTATTTATGCTCCTGCTTCAGTCATAAGAAAAAAAAAACACAAAGCAAGCTAGCTAGCAAGCAAGCAAGCAAATAAAACCTTAATTTGGAATGAGGAAGATCTGATAACTTGGAACCAAGAACCTAAAATTTTTACTTGAAAAAATTGGGTTAGAGGTTGTCATGAACTGCAGAGTTGGCTTTTCTCAATGGCTCAGTCTTAGTTTTACTTTGTTGCCATGATATTACACTCTGCCTAAGAGTGACAGGTTTATTTCAGTTTACACTTCCAGGCCCTAGTCCATTATTACAGCAGGGTCTCAAGACAGGAACCTGGAGCAGAAAGCATGGAGGAATGCTGTTTACTGGCTTATCTAACTTTCTTAAACATTCCATGTCTACCTGCCTAGACATGGTGCCACCCGCTATGGACTGGGCTCTCCCTCATCAATCATCAGCCAAGACAATTCCTCATAGACAAGGCCATGGGTCAATTTGATAAAGATAATTCTTCAACTGAGGTTCCCTCTTCCAAGGAGACTCAGGATTGTGTCAGATTAACATCAAAAAGTAACCAGGAAGGGGCTGGGAAGTTGGCTCAGAGCGTAAAAATAGTGGCTGCTCTTCCAGAGGTCCTGAGTTCAGTTCCCAGCAGTCACATGGTGCTCATAACCATCTACACGGGGATCTGATGCCCTCTTCTGGTGTGCAGATACAGCACTCACAAACATAAAATAGGCAAATCTTTACAAATAAAAGCAACCAATCTGGTGGTGGTAGTGCACGCCTTCAATCCCAGCACTCGGGAGGCAGAGGCAGGAGGCTCTCTATGAGTTCGAGGCCAACCTGGTCTACAAGAGCTAGTTCCAGGACAGGCTCCAAAGCTACAGAGAAATGGTGTCTCCAAAAAAAAAAAAAAATCCAAAAACAGACAAACAAGAAAAGCAACCAGGACAGATTCCTTTTTGGAGCAGGATTTATTTTCCAAGTATGTATTTAAATCATCTGTTACAGCTCACTCTTAGATATTTTCTCTTCTCTTCTCTTCTCTTCTCTTCTCTTCTCTTCTCTTCTCTTCCCTTCCCTTCCCTTCCTTTCCTCTTTCTTTCTTTTTTCCTTCCTTCCTTCCTTCCTTCCTTCCTTCCTTTCTTTCTTTCTTTCTTTCTTTCTTTCTTTCTTCCTTTTCTATGACACGATTTCTCTGTGTAACAGCCCCAACTGCCCTGGAACTCACTTTGTAGATCTGGCATTGAACTCAGGGATCTTCCTGTCTCTGCCTCCTGAGTGCTGGGGTTAAAGGTGTGTGCCATCACCTCCCGGCTCTTAGAGATTTTCTAATGGGTAAATGATGCTTTAGGTACAGGAGCTAGGAAACACACATGGATGGAAAACTGTAATCCTCATCATAGACGCCTGTTAGAAGGAGAATCAGGAAAACCGAGCTGATTCCATCAGGGATTGCTGGTCTCGCTGTGCTTTGGGTCTGAATGTCTGCTCTGGTATCCTTTAGAAGCTGGACATTTCCATGAAATGGACGCTTCTGTTCTCTGGCCACCTGGAACAAGACCAGTCCTAAGACAGGAAAGAAGAATGTTGGACATGGGCCTTAGGCTGGAGTGTGGAGAAATCGCTGCCTCCTTTCCCTGATTCAGGATTTGGGGGAATCAAGAACATTCCCATTTTAGGGAGGTGGCTGGCCCTTGCTTCATGTCTGGCCACAGCAGAAAGGAATGTGGGGGGGGGTCACTCTAGGACCCAGGCAATCTGAACAGCGGCATTTGTTTGCTTGAGTTTCTCTGTGCTGTCATTGTCTCCTCTCCAGCTGTTTACTAATGAATCCTTGAATTTAAACCCAGCGTGGGTTATCACAAAGGGAGCTGGGAAAGTCTGTATCTCATGCTGAAGCAGGGAAGGAAGTCAAGGCAAGCTGAATTCTGAGAGGAGCAGGTGTTTAGACATAAGAATCTGCTACATGAAGCCAGAGATCTGGCAAAGGTGAAAAGAGCAGAATTGTCTGGAATTTGTAGGCATCTCCCAAAGAGCTTGGCCAAAGCCTGCACGTCTTGAAATTCAGTAGCAAAAGGCTCGGGTTGCAGTGATGCGCAGCCAACAGGTGTGTGAGTTCACAAAGTGGTGATGCTTGACACATTTAGGCTACATCAGAACCCTGAAATCGATTCTGTTGCTGTCAGGGGTGCACTGTTCCCCTGGCTGTCCCTTAGTATTTGCTCTGTGGTTACCAGTGGATGGTTCTCCGAGGTGCCTGATGGCTCAGCTGTTCTAGGATTTTGTGGGGTGCTAGAGACTCTGATGGACTCAGCTTTGTTCAGTTCCCACCAGTCTCCGCCATTCTCCTCTCACCAATGTGTTTCTTCTCCTCTGGCATGGAGTGTGGGGCAATGCTGGAATATCTCAGCACATGTAGCCAGAGCAATGCTGGAATCCACTTGGAGTCTTTCTTAAGTGGAGAATCTTATGCTTTAGACGGTTACATTCTTGGAAACTGTGGCTCTGAGGTCTCTCTGACTGCAGAAGGGGAAACTCCCATTTAGATTGTGACATGCTGAGAAATTTTGTAACATTTTTTAATGTAGGGGAGACAAATCAGAAGGAACATAAACAAAACCCCAGTTTCAAAATAGTTAAAGAATACACAACTTTCTTGAAATGTATACATTGAGCAGGCCAGGCCAGGCTAGAGGACAGGCCACAGAGCTGGATGATGGAATGTATTTTCCTTAGATCATTACTGTAACTCTCCTACCTCATGCTTGTCCTGATATTTTGACATTGTATACTCTCTTTGAAAGATAGGGTATGCCACCCATTTTCTTGAATCAGCAGGTTTGTAACTTTGAGGGAAGTAATATTAGTGTGTGTGTGTGTGTGTGGGTGTGTGTGGGTGTGTGTGTGTGTGTGTACATGCACATACGTGCACATTTGACACCGCAGACTGCACTCAGGACCTTAGGTATGCCTCACAAATGTCTACCATTGACTTACACATCCAGTTCTGTATGCAGTTTCTGAGTCTAGGTCATAAATGATGATATGATAATATAGTTTCTGTCTGTTTATCAAGTTAAATTAATGAGTTCGTCAAGTTTGTGAGTATGCTTTCACACACATATGTGTGCACTTGGAGATCAGAGGCCACCTCAGGCAGTATGCACACACACACACACACACACACACACACACACATGTGTGTACTTGGAGATCAGAGGTCAATTTCAGGCAGTATTCATACACACACATATGTGTGCACCTGGAGATCAGAGGTCCACCTCAGGCAGTATGCACACACACACA